TCATAGACATGTATTTACAAATCAAGTATAATGGGAACACAGAATGATCTTGGAGAGAGCTTTACCGAGCTGACTGCTGTAACCGAACGCGACCAGGGTTTAAACTTTAAAGGCTGAACGAATGACTGACAGCCACAGCGGAGAAAAGAGTTTGTGTGAACTTTAATGTAAGGACTTAAATATTCATATGTAGCTCACATTAAGCTATCGTATGGCTTCAGAAGTAAAACAGAATAATTTGCACAATCGGGGGAAAAAAAACAAAACAAATCTTGGATTTGGATCGACCCTCTCTGACCGATACCCGATCCGAGAAAAATGGTACTATCGGAGCCGATACCCGATATGAATATCGGATCGGCGCATCCCTAAAATGAGCACATACTCTCCAATAAATGCGCAATTATCCTTCATATTTCTTAAGTCAGAGATGTTCCAAGCAGTCTTTTGGGAGGTAGCCTGTTGTCCGTGTTCGTTTTAGAGGTGTGTGACTTCAATTTTGTGAGGTCTGAGTAGTGCTGGGCGGTATACCGGTTCATACCGAATTGTGGTGAGGGGAGAGCTGTATGTGTTACTAAGCGTGAAAGTTCCGAAACTGAAGCTGTAGAACTAATAGAACGTGATGACACATAAGAACTCGTCCACATTGACCGCCACAACTATCCACCGCCCCCTGCCATCAGCTCCCGCGTCTCTCACACACACGCGACTTCAGCACTAGATTTAGAAACTTTCAGATCCTTTTAGCGTTTTTTTCCCATTATTTAGTGTGGTATTTTTTGACAGTATTCACTCATCATGACAGTAAAATTGGGCATTCTAAGTCAATATACTGCAGTATTTCCTCTCTCAATCAGTAGAAAATATGGTTAACACCCGGTCATGCATGAAAAAAAAAAAATACACCGTCATATACCGTGAAACCGGTCTAATTTTGAAAAATACCGTGATATAAATTTTTGGTCATACCACCCAGCACTAGGTCTGAGCTTTGAGAAGCCTCATCATGTGATTTATAGAGTTACAAAAATCACTTAACGTGCTGATGTGCATCTTGAAAAATGCTTCTTAAATCCATTTTTGATATTTGTGCTCTATTATAAGATGGATAGTCAATATCTGGCTTTTCTTGTTTAGTACGGATGTCAGTCTAGATCAAATCTAATAAAAGCATATGATGTTCAGTTAAAAAAAAATCCCCTTTACACCTACGAACCCATTGTTATTGTCCTTCATTTATCAGATCAAGCTATCTGTAGAAGCGTTTGTGTGTAATGCTCTGTACACCGCTCTTTTCCCTGCCGCTTTTCATGTGAGCTTGAGACAAGATCTCACTGACCCTTCGAAAACTTGCATGACATGCTCGCTTTTCTCATCCCTCTTTCTCGTTTCATTCCTGTTGCGCTGTGTGTGAATAGAGCCTTACAGATGTCCACAAAAGTGCTTTGATCATAGGAATCAGTTCAGATTCAAAACTGCATTGTGCTCTGGCATTGTTTCCTCAGCTTTTACATCCATGACCGATTCCTCCAGTGTTTGAATTACTGGGGGAGCTGGGAGGGGCTGAGACCCCCTAGTTCTAGTCCCTCTAGACTAGTTATATGTAAAATCAGGCCTGGGGGTGACTTCCCAACTACCAGTTACATTTTAAATGTATTATAATAGTAGGTGATTACCTCCTTGATGTTGGATTGAATGTAATGATTTAAAGAAACATTAGCGTCGACAATAACTACAATTAAAATGGCCACTCGCAGTGTTGTCCATCATAGATTTTAGTCAGCAACATGTCATATAATAGGGAGCTTTATCTTCAGAACACAAATTAAGATATTTTTGATCAAATCCGATGGCTTAGACAGCAACGCCTCCATTGACAGCAATGCCACCCAAAATTTCAAGATCCATAAGGGTACTAAAGACGTCATTAAAACAGTCGACGTGACTACAGTGGTTCTACAATAATTTCATGAAGCCATGAGAATACTTTGTGCGCAAAAACAAAACAAAAATAATAACTATTCAGCAATCTCTTCTCTTCCCTTCCCTGTCATTATCCTTACGCGGTTAACGCAGTAAGCACAGTGAAGGCTCCCGTGTTCTACGTCCGAACGCCGGCTCATTATTGGCCAAAGCTGCACATGTGAGCAGCGCGATGCATGTGTGTGATGCTGATGCAGGAGCCGTTGAATAATGAGCCAGCGTTCTGACGTAGAACCTGGAAGCGCTGGACGTAAACGACGTATGAGAATGACACAGACGAGAAGAGGTTGTTGAATAAACAACCAATTTGTTTTGTTTTTGCACACAAAAAGTATTCTCGTCGCTTCATGAAATTATTGTAGAACCACTGTAGTCACGTCGACAGTTTTAACGTCTTTAGTACCTTTATGGATATTGAAAGTTTGGGTGGCGTTGCTGTCAATGGAGGCCTCTCTGAGCCATCGGATTTGATCAAAAATATCTTAATTTGTGTTCTGAAGATGAACAAAGGTCTTAAGGGTGTGGAACGACATGAGGGTAATTAATGACAGAAATTTAATTTTTGGGTGAACTAACCCTTTAAGAGCTACTGTGGGCACCAACAATTCAGTAAAAACATTTTTTTAAACATCTGCCAAAGGCAGGTAAAATTAGAAATATTACAGATAATTATTTCTTGCTAAGCATAAAACCATATTTTTTCCACTTTTAATTAAAACTATATTTTTGATCCTATGGCATTGAGGTTATTTGCTGTTCCCTTGCAAGTTGCTACATACAGAGCCGGTCATTGACATGTATGAAATGAGTCAGTCTACAACATCCATGTGAAACTGCAAATGGCTTTGTGAGGAATATTCCACGTGTCACATTCCAGGGAGGGAAATGGGCATCCTAGATAAACTTGTGCTGGTCAATTTTGCACTCAGGCAAAAGTTGTTAAACGGACTACTAAATAAACCATGAACTGCATGTTTTATGTCTTTATCATTTGCATTACTTATAATAGGTTTAGACGATCATATTTATCATTTGGGGGTTTTAGTAAAGTTGAGCTACAAACTCTTTATTTACTCACTTAAACGTCCTTCCCCTTTCCTCACATTTGTTCATTTTGGGCCCTGTGATTGCAGCAGTCTTTATTGCATATTTTATTACAGGTAAAATGAGTAAAAGTATAATGGGATTGTTTGCCATCACAGTAAATCAAAGCTACAATATATGAAGCGTTGAGATGATTTAAAGTAGGGCTGTGCGATTAATCGAAATCGTCATAAAATCGCGATTTGAGCATGCGCAATTTCTAAATCGCTTTACAGCACGATTTTCCGCGCCCCAACCTCCCTGCAGTATGCTATCCGAACCAATCAGAATGCAGCGCACCTAAATGGAAACGGATTAGAGCTTTCACACTGCACGCGGTTGCGGTCCGTCAGTGCGTTCCAGGTGCGGCGCGTCTGCAGCAGTGCAGCGATCGTTTACGCACCGAGTCTATTTTTGCTGTGCTGCACGCGCTGAATTAAAGTGACAGTGCATTGTTCACGGTAAAAATTAACATGGATTGACACGGAAATTTAGTAATTACACCATAAATATTAAAGTATGGCTTTTTGGCTAGATTTAAAACAAGGAAAATTGCACTTTTAGATAAACAACGCAATAATAGATGGCACTCGGGGTGGTAGTTAAAGTTATATTTATTGAGTTTAAACGTGAATATGTCTATGAAAGATTGTATTACAGTACTGTGATAAAATAGAATCACAATGCTGAAAAAGCATTTTCAGAAACACATTTTGTTACACCTTTACTTAGTGATTATTTTGCCTCATGTCTGTTCTAGAGACATGTTACAGCTTCTTGATAAAGCTCTAATTGGTTTTCTTTTGGAAATGTTTCAAATTCACACTGAATGCGTTTATGACTGTAAAGCATGTCTGTGTCAAAATCGTGATTAAAATCGAAATCACAAAATTGATCAAAGAAATCGTGATAGGTTTTTTTTTGTCCATATCGCACAGCCCTAATTTAAAGTCTATATCAATGTATCGATCATGATGAGTGAAGTGTTCCTAGTAAATATGATGTATTATGTTTAACTCTTTAAAGGCTGACATAGTGTTTTTACTTATAATAGTTTTTTTTTTTTTTTATGGAGCTGTTTATTGAACCTTTACACACACAAAGATTTTTTTTTTTTTTTAAGTGTTATATTTGATACATATGATAATATGGTTCCTGAATTTTATTAAGAGGCCCAAAACTGCAAAAATATGCAATTTGGTGCAGTTGCTGATATTTATATGGACAAAAAGTAAGATTAAATTCTGATAGTTATATATAGTGTATAGCGAACTACTTGCATGAATTTTCTATAAATATCAGTTTTCATGCTATATCTCCCAATAATATGGCTTAAGATAATATTTAAATGCTTAGTCTTATGATCAAAGCTCTGTAGTTTTTGTGGGAGGGCAAACATATAATGCAGTGCAGTACAGTGATGATTGAGTGATGTACAAATAAACGTTCCTCAAAAGCCTGATGTAGCCTATAATTCGATTTTAACAATGATTTTTCTAATGTGGACAATCAAGTAAACCTAAACTGCTTCAGTCCCGTAAATGTTCATCTTGAAATATTACTAACAATATGAATTATTTTTCTTATTATGTTTACTTTATAAAAGTCTGTAGAAGATTTCAAAGCAAAAATGCATACCATGACAGGAATACTTTTAAGTAAAAGGCCTTTTATTATAATTCTATCAATCAGATGACAGAAGGCATGTAGTAGATTGTTACAACAGGTTTTTCAGCGAAACGTGTTTGCATCAGGTGCAGACTGGGAAGAGAACTGTTGTAGTCCACCCCCCGTTCTTGACAAAGCAACCAGCCATTATTAATTCCCTATGTAGTAGTGTGTTGCACTTCAAGATTTGTAATAAAAACTGCTTAAATTCACTTTTGATATATGATATATGTGTTGGAGAACAAAATGTGAGTCTTTTAAAGTCTTCTGAAAATCTGAAACCGTTACGCTTAATTTAACCTTCCACTTTGGTATATGATAAATATTTTTTCAAGGTCATAAAGGCTCACTTTTTACTTATTTTAATCTGTAGTCTATTTGTAAAAGCAAAAGCTAGATATGAAGAAAGCTTTATTTTAGCATATATTACAGTTTGTGAAGTTTGGGTCCAGTAATTTTTTTTTAAATCTCACATGCTGCAATTTATTTGAACAAAATACAATGAAAACCTGTAATATTTTGGCAAATTATTACAATTTAATACCTTTTTTCTATTATAATATATTTTGTGTCATGTCATTTATTCCTGTGTTGGCAAACTGAATTTTCAGCCGCCATTACTTTCAGTGTCACAGAAATCGTTCTAATATGCTTATTTGGTGCTGTTTTTAGGTGCACATTCAGTTAAATCTGTTAAACACTACTTAAACTACTAAATTATGCTAAATGTCACAAGGGCTTTAGTTAGACGTGTTGAATTTGTGTTTAGATGTATCAAAAAAACCATGGATCATGTGTAACAGTTTAATTTCCCATGGATTTACAAATAAACATGCCTAAATTTATAGCACAATAATTTTCCTGCTCTTATTTCAGCTCAAAATGAATCTGCAGTCACATGATGTCAGGCTGCGAAAATGTCAAGTACCTACTTGAGCGAGACTTAGTTATTTAATCTCTCCCTTTGTTTTTCTTTGAGTTTGACCTGCCAGTTGTGTTCAGATAGAAGGTATTTGTGTTTTTATTGTCGTCTTGTTTCTGTGGGCACATGTTGAGATCTTGGAGTGTGTGTGTGTGTGTTATCTGTTATGGCGTAGCTTTGGGGATGTGCGTTTTGCTGTGTGACTATGCTCAGGTGAGTTTAGTCGGGCTGGATTTTAACCTGCTGCCCCATCTGGCTGCAGGCTTGTTCCATGTGTGGACACCCAAAATGTGTAGATCAACCCCACTTCCCCTCCTTCTCCGCACTGCATGGTGTCTGAAAGCCAACACCCCCTTCCTCTTTCACCCGATTGAAGGAAGCCTTGTCTTATTGGCCTGGACTGAATGATTGACTGGTTACGTAGCCAATGGCTGGAAGTGCCCAATGGCTGCTGGGAATTCCATAGTAATGCACACGCTAACCAATAGGATGGCTTGGAATGGAGAAGGGAAGTGGTGGCGGTTAGGGGGGGTTGTGGGCATTAGTATGTGTGACGTATAGGGGGCTGGTGTGTGTTTAAGCCTGTAGGCTTCCTTTTGCCCATGTTCAATGTTCGCCTGCACGCCTCCTCCAGAGCAGGAGTGGCAGAAGCGAAGAGCTGCAGCGAATAAGGTGTAAAACTGCTTTCTTGAATTCTTTTTGTTTGTTTGAGTATGAGAGTATGAGATTCCAAATGCTTAGTTTGCTTTTGAGTTTAATTTTTGGTCAAGATCCAAATCAGCAAGAGCAGACTGTTTAAAGTTGGCAATCTTGGCATGAAATGAAAATTCAGCATATTTATTTTCTAAATGCGTTATTGTGAATAATTAATTGGTCTGCATACAGGACTTCTCTAGTCACTTAGTCTGCTTTAAACCTGCTCCTGAAAGATCATGTTCATCTACGTTAGTTTTTGAGTGCAAAGCCAACACCTCAATCCAATCGACAATCAGTTTTTCGGTAAGCCGTTACACTCTGATGTGCATCACAGTAAATTTGCCCTTCGTCTCAAACATCTGGCTATTGCCCAAAAATTGGACTATACTGAAGAAAACACAGTTTTTGGAAGTCACGCTTTCTTTCTATGCCATTTGTGACCTATGCTTTTAAACCATTGGGCCTGAATCATGAAATGTTCATAAAACAACTCTTGTATAAACTTGCATGGAATTGTGACAAATTATGCAAGAATAGAATTGATTATTTACAATTCATTAACGAGGCCAATGAAATATCGCTACTTGCTTGTATCGCAACTTTGAAGTGACCAAAAAATTAATATTATTGTCTTTTACTCTCATCCGTTCCAAACCTGTATGGCTTTCTTCTGTGCAACACAAAAGCTAACATTTTGAAAAAACCCACTGATTTTCATTTTATGGACGGAAAAAAATGCTTCCTCAAAAGAAAGTCAATTTGAAACAACATTAAGTTGAGTGAATGATTTTTGGGTGAACTATCCCTTTAACACTTAACTATTCAACCTTTTTGACAGCATTATGGGTGTCTGGTTGTTTTCTTTTTTTTTAATGTATTTTATTAAATTTTTTTGTTATACCACCTTTACCACAATGTGTAGTCTCTAACAACATTAGTCTTAATCACAGTCTGAAAGTGTCTCTTCACCTACAGGTTTTGGACGGGTTGTTAGCTCAGTACGGCACAGTGGAGAGCTGTGAACAAGGTAGGATGTGCTCTTCAGCAGATTGTCACTTTAGTAATCCATATATTAAAAGATTAGTTAATCTCTCCCCCTCTGTCTTCCTCCTCTCTCTTCCATCTTCAGTCAACACTGACACGGAGACCGCTGTTGTTAACGTGCGATATGCCGCGAAGGACCAAGCCAGAGAGTGAGTATCATCCGCCTCGGATTCGGCTGGCTCAGTCACCACCCCACGCCCTCCAGAGTGTTTCTGTCCCACATCTCGCAGTGAAATGTGAGACTGTCAGTTCCACATGCACTGCTATTTGGATTTAGTCAGCAATTATAATAACTCATTCAGTGCCACCTACTGTTTGATTAGTAGAACTGCAGAGCGGTCACAGGGGTTGGTAAAAGAAGCCTCTGTTAAATGAATGGAAAGACTTGGATAGAAGAATCTTAGTCAGTTGTTTGTGCACAATAGGGAGTTCCTGTTACCATTCGCAAGTGGATGTCAGTGAAAGATTTGATGGCTTTAAAGGGCTCCGGCATTCCATCACGTCTAAACCTCATGCTCTAAACCCCTCCTCCCCCCTCACCATCAATCAGATTCGCTTAAGTTTTACATGTGTCCTGTTTGAGAAGGAAGCAGTAAAGCAGAGATGATTTTCATGGCCTTTGTCGCCGTCAAAATTGGACAATATTGAAGAAAAATACAGTTTTTTTTTAGAATTCACGCTTGGTTTCTGGGGACCTATGCTTTTAAATCTTTGCAATATTTTGGGTTTCATTCATGACACGTTCATAAAACAATTGAATAAAACTGTTGCAATGAATTGACAGATTATGCAAGGATGGAATGGAGTATTTACTGAAATGCAAAAAATTTATTCATAAATGAGGCCCATTTTAATAGTTTTTTTATAGTACATTTTTTATTTTGATTCAAATCAGCAAGAGTCAAACTGTTAAAGGGATAGTTAAAGTTAGTTTAGTTATTTATTAGTTAGTTAAATAGTTAAGATATTTATTGGAAAGAAAGCTTTTTTAGTTTTTTGACTGAACAAAATACAGTAAAAACATTCATAAAGTAATAAAAATTCTAGAATAAACTGTTGTATTGAACTGTGAAAAACTTATGCAAGAATGGAATTATGAATTTTTACTGCAATACAGAAGTGTATTCATAAATGAGGCCAATTTTGTTTATTTTCAGCAATTTATTTTGGTCCAAAGCTGCAAGAGGCAAACTCTTTAAAGGATTAAACCAAAGATTTGTGTCTTAATTACTCCTACATTTTATTTAATTTTAATTTTATTTTTCAACTAAGCATAATATCCCACACAAGAATAACAAGTAGAACGTTTAGGATGTATAAAAGTAGCTTTGTGTGTTCGTCCACCTAATATGGCTTTTGACCTTTCACTGAAATGTAACTTTCAGAAGCATGATTAAAAACGAGTTCAATGAAAGGATCTGTTCATGTTAGTATTTCTTAATGTTGCTTATCCTTCTGTTGCTCTTTTTTTTCCCCCAGAGCTTTGGATAAATTAAATGGCTTCCTTATGGAGAACTACGCACTAAAGGTTTCCTATATCCCAGATGAAACGGCTGCAGCAGATGCCCCTGCCGTGGGTGGCAGGAGAGGTTTCAACTCACGCGGACCGCCTCGCCAAGGCTCTCCCAATCTGGGCGCAAGACCTAAACTACAATCAGACGTGCCTCTACGCATGTTGGTGCCCACCCAGTTTGTAGGAGCTATTATTGGCAAAGAAGGTGCTACCATCCGCAACATAACCAAGCAGACTCATTCAAAGTAAGAATACGCAGTGTACGTAGTTGTAAATAGTCCTGTTTCACTCTGTGCACATAAGCACAGCATATTTATTTTGGCGTCAATATTAAGATGTTACAACATTTCACACTGAGCACATAAGGTTCTACACAAGCAAAGTATCAGCACTGAATCTGTTGTTGCATGTTGAAAATGCTTTATAAACCTGTTTATCAAGATCTTTTGCAATATAGTACTTAATGAAGCCACAAAATAATGTAACTAATAAGTGAAATAACGGTTTAACAAAAGAATGCTGGGTTTGTTGAAAGCTAATCATGCAGTGACTAGGGATATGCCGGTATCAAATTTTCATGTTGCGATTAATTGCTAATGCTTTTATCACGGTATACGGCATTATCACGGTTTTGAGATTTAGTTTAAAAAAAGTGCTGTCATTATACAGTATTATTATTATTATTATTATTATTATTATTATTATTATTATTATTATTATTATTATTATTATTATTATTATTATTATTATTATTATTATTATTATTATTATTATTATTATTATTATTATTATTATTATTATTATTATTATTATTATTATTATTATTATTATTATTATTATTATTATTATTATTATTTCTGCAGTTTAGCGCCATCTGCTGTCCGAGAGTGAAAGTGCGCTTTCATCCAGAGCGTCTCTCACATGTTCCGCCATGTGCTTCTCGTCCGTGCTTATTTACATCAGAGTGCGCATGCGTCTTTCACGCAGCATACAGCGGTGTTGTGCATTTTGACCAGTTGATGGGAAAAGTATTCTTAAAATGCATTCAAAATTCTGAATAACTTGTAATATATAATTATTCACGGTATTTAGAAGAGCCCACGATAACAGTATCGTGCATATTCATTACCGTGATATATCGCATTACCGAATACCGGCACAAGTCTAGCAGTGACCGGAAACCATGTTGAAGTCAGGTTTCAGTCTGTGTAGGTAGGTTGTCCTAATTATTCTTAAAGATAATTTCACTGATCAAGTTTGTACCCAGTTTGTTTTTACCCAGAAATCACTGGTTAATTTGTGAGATTTTAAAAATAACATCAATAATGTATTAATTGAAAAATAAAAATATGAATCACTTTCTGAATTTGTTTTTAAAACTAACACAAACTTCCAACTTTTAAATTGCAGCTAAGAAAAAAAGTCTGTTTTATCCATTTACTTGTTTTTAATTGGAAAAATGTATATATCAATTTACTTGCTATTAATTGGGACAAATAAAAAATGTGAATCATTTATGTTTTTAAAACAAGTTTGTTTAAAACTAATTTTATGCGCACCTTTTAAATTGAAATTAAAATATTGGCCCTTTTGATCTATTTATTTGCTTTTGACACATATATATATATATATATATATATGTTGTTTTAAATGTTGTTGTTTTTTTCGTCTCTTATGCTCACCAAGGCTGCATTTATTTGAACAAAATACAGTAAAACTAGTAATATTGTGAAGCTATGGTTTTAAATATCTGTTTTATATTTTAATATATTTTAAAATGCTATTTATTCCTGTGATTACTGACCCCAAACTTTTGAACAGTGGTGTCGGTGTATATCGCATGTACTGTCTTTTAAACAATTTGTGTTAAAGGGGTCATATGATGCTTTTTTAAAGATCATTATTCAGGGATCTTATCTATGCACTATCAGCTTGTAACACTCCAAAGAGAAAGGAAAACTTGAAATCGCATCATATGACCCCTTTAACTGAATGTTAAAGAATGAAAATGCCTTTTTGTCTATTGGCATCTGGGAAGGAAACCTAGAGTTGATCAGACTGCTGTAATAAGTTGATTACATATTATGTGCACAGGATTGATATCCATCGTAAGGAGAATGCAGGAGCCGCGGAGAAGCCCATCACTGTTCACTCCACCCTTTTTTTTTTTTTTTTGTTCTTCATTGTATGCTGGATTCTTGGCATGCACCAGGTACATTCAGTTGAATATATACTTTCCAAGAGGTCATATTTATTCTGCAGAGGTCTTTGTTTTAAAACATTGCTCAAGATAACATTTTATATGTAGATGTGAGTGGCGCTTCGTGAACCACTGGATATGCAGTTTTCTTGTCCAGTTGATTCATACATGCTGCAGAGTTCAGTTGGGGTGTTTGGCTTCCATCCAGCCTATTGCTAAATAAAATAGGCTGTGTGATGAGTACTTAAGTGGTAGCTTGACATTCAAATTTGGAATTTATTTATTTTTTTAAATATACTACTGAATAAGATGCATCTTCCTCACTTATCACTTGCGTGTGACTGGTTGCCCCTTTTGCTACATGTACCTAAGGTTGACAACCCACCCATGTCACACATACCAAAGCATGTAATTTGGTGTTTGTTTTGCTCCCACAGGTTTTCTTGTGTAATTTTAGTATTATTTGTATACTATTATGGTATATATGAATACTTTGAATTCGCTTGTATTTTTTATTATTTGAGTTTTAAGTGTTTATAAACTATTTTTTTTTTTTTTTTATATTTTGAATGAGCTTTGTTTATATTTGAGTTTTGATTTAGTATTTAGAAACTTATCATACTATTTTGAATTAGCCTCTATTTTTATGTTTTAATTTTAGTCTTATACTATTATAGTGTTTATACATTTTTTGAATTAGCTTTTATTTTTCTATTTTCAGTTCAGTCTAATTTTAATTCAGGTTATAGTTTTGTTTGTTTTTTGTGTATTTGTCATTTTTGTTTTTACACATTTATGCTTTTTTTTTGTTTTTTAATTTTAGTATTTCAGTTTTTTTCCCCTCCAACTAATGTTTAACTTTATTATGTATTTTTTTATTTCATCTTTTTCTACTAACAGCAATGATTTTAATAGTTTAATAACACTGGTTTTCTTTAGCATGTATTTGTACTAGTAACATAGATACTGTTTTTTTTGTTTGTTTTTAAATCACTTTTTCCACATTTCACCAATCCCAGTCTGCAGGATCTGACATTGTATAACCCAGAGCGCACCATCACTGTAAAGGGCACATTAGAGGCTTGTGCAAAAGCAGAAGAAGAAATCATGAAGAAAATCCGTGAGTCCTACGAGAACGATGTAGCTGCTATGCATGTAAGCCTGCAATGACTTTACATTTTTTGTCTAAAATTGTATACAGCACAACAACTTCATCTCAAGAAAAAAATCTCTGCCCTCTTATTCCCCTAGCTACAGTCTAACCTGATTCCAGGGCTCAATCTGAACGCATTGGGTATTTTTCCTGGTGCAGCGAGTGGAGGGATGTCACCCTCTGTTCTATCAGGACCTCCAGCTGGGGCTCAATCATTTGGGGTAACACAATTGGATAAAATTGTTTGTGTGTGAGGTGTTTGTGTTTGGTGTACACTTATGAGAGTAGGGAGAGTATTAATATATGCAACGGCAAAATGTGAGCCGGGAACCTACAGTCTGTGTGTGTGGGAGTGTGAGTGTTAATGTGTGTGTTTCTCCCGTAGTGCAGTGTGTTTGGGGGTGAGGTGCCATTTTGGGCCTCTACACTCTCCTCCAGCTGCAGCACAGCCTTTTCTGTAAGTTTTTATTTATTACCCACCATGCACTGCCTGGCTTGGCTGCTCGCTACTGGATTGGCTGAAGGGACAAACGTCTGTTCCCAGATTAGTCGCTGCCCAGGGGGTGTCGCTCAGCCTCCACAGCTAACAGAGATGCTGAAATGCTCCGGATCTGATGTTTAACACGTAACATGTATGGATGTAGACCTAAAGTGCTTTGTGTGTGTGTTAGTGGATAGGAATGAACATTGTCAAGTGTGCAGTTAGATGGGATGGGCATGAAATAACATGGGAGTTAGACTAACCCATAAACTAGGATGAAATGCACAGGTGTGTCGTTTGTGTCTATATTGACTTAGTGATTTATTTTTCAAATTGTCCTAGAGACCTATCTGAATAGTTCTCAAGCTGAATATTTACTTAATCTACATTTGTGGATTTATATCAAATAAATACAAAAGCCCCTAAAATAGTTGGTTGATTAAATTGTAAATGTAAAAAAAGATGTATATATATTATTTGGAAATAATATAAGAGAAATTGTTGAAAATGGTCTTTTATGACCATTTACATCCAGTCTTAAAAATAAAAAGCCTTTCTAATTTGCATACAGCAGCATTTTGTTTTATTTTATTATTTTAATTGGTTATTTTATTTTTAATTTGTCAAATACCCACGTCTGATGTTAAACCCATACTGAATTTATCAAATTTTTATAAAATTTTATTTCCAAAAAGTGGTATATGGAATGAATGTATCCATAAATTATATGAAGTGACTCTAGTTATAAAGCAAATATCTAATCATTGGTATTGTTGAAAATAAAAATGACCAGACTCCATATAGAAGTTGTAGAATTTAACACACAAGACTTACTTATGTATGTTCATTGAAAGAAGAATCGCCTTTGTGATTTTTTTTCAAGTCTTCATTGACTATAAAAATTTTTATTAGATTGTCCTGCTTTAAATGATACTAGGAGACGTTTAAAGTGCATTAATGGACATTATAAAGTTTCTCCTGAGAAGATATTAGAAGTATCAAATATCAGTTGTACATAATAATTTATTGTTGAAAAATGTTCAAATTAATGTATACAATTCATCGAAAGTGTTGTTAGGTATTTTATTTTAAATATTATTTTTGTGTTGCATATGGTGACAAATGAACTTATCTGTGACATGAAAAATTATTTAAGATCAGTTAAGATCAGACTGAATTAGGAGCTTTATTTTAAAAATATTATAGCATGGGGGAATTATAACTGGGTGAGCAGATTGTCTGTTTGTTGAATAGGCAGCGTGTTAATATATCATGTTCATTACGTCAGGGTCATGTCCGAATGAGCCGTTTTTGCAGCTTACTTTGAATAAATGGTGCTTTTGGTGTGGGATGGATGAATTACGAACCTGGCAATATATTTTCCAAGCAGAGTGAATTCAAAAGATTAAATCTTGATTCCTCATGTTGTGACCTCTGTTGAGTGAATAGTTGATTTGTTAACTTGTTTGTTTGAGTAGTTAGTTGACTGAGTCCCAGGATGTCTTGTGGCATATTCTCTGGATGTGTTTCTATAAAAGCAGATTTATTTAGTGTTAAATGTGTGCTCATAACTCATGAGTGTATTTGTGTCAGCAGCCACAGGTGGAGTCGGAAAACGTGCACCTCTTCATTCCTGCTCTGGCAGTTGGTGCTATTATCGGCAAGCAGGGCCAGCACATTAAACAGCTCAGCCGCTTTGCTGGTGCATCAATCAAAGTGAGTGATGGCAAGAATGACCTTTTACCCTCATCCTAAAACGGTTTGTTAAACGTAATAGTTATAATTTTTCTATTTTGCTATGCTGTAGCAGTATTAAAGTATAAGATCTGTCATTATGGATAGATTGCACCTGCTGATGAAATTGACACCAAGCAAAGAATGGTCATTATTACTGGACCACCAGAGGCACAGTTCAAGGTAAAATTGTTTTACACATCGTATGAATTGAGCCATTTTATCGATATACACTCATTTGATTGCATATTCATGCGTTGATTTTCTGTGCTGCTTTTTTCAGGCTCAGGGACGTATCTTCGGGAAGTTAAAAGAGGAAAACTTCTTTGGTCCGAAGGAGGAGGTTAAATTAGAGGCTCACATAAAAGTGCCATCATTCGCCGCTGGCAGAGTCATTGGCAAAGGAGGCAAAACGGTAAGTGGCCACTTTACATTTCTAATAAAAATTTTCAGTGCTCATGTTTGCTTTACAGATACATTTAACCCCCCCAACATTGCATGTTTGTAGCTGATCTGTGTTTCTCTTTAGGTGAATGAACTACAGAACTTGACCAGTGCAGAGGTGGTTGTCCCGCGGGACCAGACGCCTGATGAAAATGACCAAGTAGTAGTAAAAATCACAGGCCACTTCTATGCAAGCCAGGTGATTGAGCTACTAGACATACTAGAACTGCAGAATGGGGTTAAAAGGTGTAATTTTTCTTATGTTAAAACACTTTCTCTGATCCCAGCTTAATGGCAAAGACAACTAATCATAAGTAATCCGTAAGTTTGTAAGTGTTGTCATGCCAAACTTTTGATGTGGAGCTCACAATGAGTGTGACTTTTTATAATAATAATAATAATAATAATAATAATAATAAATGGTGAATAAATAATAATAATAATAATGAATTATAAATGAATTTAATGAAATGTGTTTTTTGAAATGTAAATGATAATTTAGATGTTTTAATTGATAGTTTATTGAAATCTATTTATATATTTATTTTGATGGTCATAGTAATGCAATTGAAATACATTTGTTGAAATGTATTTATTGAATGTATATAATGTATTTAAATTATTTAATCCTGTATTTAGTAGTTATAATTTATTTTTATTTTATTATTATTATTCATTTAAATATTAAAGTACTTTAGTTATTATTATTATTATTATAGTACTTTAGTCACGTTTTTTCCCCCCAGTGTAATGTTAAGTAATTTAGCCGCCCCTTCACTGAGCCTTACATACAGCTTTGTCCAGTATTCAATCATCTGAAAATGTTTAACTTTGTCTCCATTTATTGCTGAAGTGATTTGGTATTATGTTATTTTGCTGTTTGATTTGAGTATTTCAACCCCTTTGTTGTTTTCTTTCATGTGTCCCAGCTGGCCCAGAGGAAGATCCAGGAGATTATCTCTCAGGTGAGGCGGCAGCAACAGCCCAAGGCCTCGGCCACAGGTCCACCAGTCGCCCGGAGGAAATAGAGCCACTGCGTCTTCTCGGAGACTGAAAGGACATGGGGCACGTCCATCTCAGGGGTCAGGGAATGTCCTTAAACCCCGCCCGCTTTTACACCCATTCCTTCTGAAAGTTTCAGTGAGATTGTGTACACCTGCACCCCCCCCCACCACCACAGCCCCCCTCCTTTTCAATCAAACCATAAGAAAATCTGCCACCCAGTCCTTGCCTTAATATGGTAACTGCACAGACCTTAATTGACAGACATTAAACTTTGTTTTTGTTATGAGTTTACTGGGAAATGCAGCATTTGAGTGTAAAAGGCGTTTCAAGCCTGTTTTTTTTTGGGGGGGGGTAAGGAATGGGTGACACAGGGTGGGGTTTATGGTCTTTGGCTTGAGATGGAAAGAGGATTGTTGATGGAAGTATGCTGTCCCGGGATCCATAGTGGCATTTTATAAATTCTGATGCATTTTATAGATTAATAGATATATACATATATAAAATTATGAAAGAAGGTGGAGCAACACTGCCACTTATGACTGAGGGAAGTGTTGATTGGTGTTGGCCAGGAAACCAAGTTAATATGCATTTTACTGATCTACCTCAGGCTAGAGTACCTCAGAAAAAAAAGAAAATGATGTATGAAAAAATGTTCTGTTCTTTTTTCTTTTTTTTTTTTCTTTGTGGTATTTTGTATACTTTATAGAGCTAATAGTTCTTGAACATTTTTATTTTTTTAAGAAAATGTAAAATTTAGTCTGTAGTTAACGGATGAATCTCGAACTCCGCCTTGCTCTGTTTGCCGCGTGCGCGATGAATAACTGTATATACGTTTGCGTGGGTAATAGTGGAGTTTGAGCTTCCGTGTTAGCTACAGATAGGAGAAAGAAAAGAAAAGCGCCTCAGTTTCGCTGAGGAGCCACCACCCTCTGAACACCGTCAAGGTAATGAGAAATAACGCCAACCGTACATACCGCAGCAATGCCGTGCTAATATGCTAATAACTGTATCGGCGGTAGCAGACGTTTCACCCGCATTTCATTACACTTCAGTTAGGGTTGGATGCAAGCAATAGAGGTCAGGGATAAGCAAGGTCCTGCTGTAACCTCTTTGACACCCCCTCATCCTCAGTGCGACTAGTTGTCTATCAAATTAAAATAACGACCAGCCCGATTGAGGTTGTTTCTTCTTTTCCCGTGCTCGTCGTTTTTTCTCCCTTTGCTTTTTCAAATAATGCGCTCCGTTTGGTCTTGGGACGGGCGTTTTTTGGTTTTGTTTTTGCATCAAACTGGGCTTTACATGCCGAAGATTTTCAGTGTTTAACGTCAGTCAATGCATATTAGGGGTTCGGGGAGTTAAACTGTTCTGATGTGTTTGCGTTGATAGCTATAGGTTACAATAGTCGAGGGCGCGTCTCTAACGAGCAGTAACGTAGAGATGGACGCGCGAATGGTTTAATTTATAGCTTTCGTTTATCATTCAAAGTGAAAAAAGCAAAAAAATATATATGAACTTTAGCAAAGAAAAAACGTTTAGTAAAGAAACCAATATTCCTTTTTGTTTTCATGCAGAATGTTAATATGATTTGATTGTGGTAAGAGTGCATCCATGCTTCCACACTAGTAAGACCATTGTCTACCTCAGCTGAGGAAGGGGTGGGTGGTGGGAATACTTCCATCTTACCTGAGACCTCCAGCGCGCGCAGCGATACCTCAAGTCCCTCGCGAACACTTCCGCACTGGGTACACGCGTGGGGCCGAGCGCTGACCAGAGGGGCACAAGTGATCGTTTTGTTTTTCTTTCCACCCTTCTCTTACACCGTTTTTGATCTACCTCTTATTAGAAAAGTATTTAAATTAGAGGCATATTGCTATGTGTTAGAATCTATAGGGTCATGTTCCATCTGCCCTTTCCTCACCCAAAAAAAAAACATTTAAAAAAAAAAAAAAAAAATCATGTATGGCTAGACTTAAAAGATGAGAAAGAAAATTATTTCGTTTTTTGCCAGCAATTTATTCTCCGCTAACTGATTTGAAACCTCACCTGCTTTTTTCTTTCTGCTTCTTGGTTTGGTGATGTGGCTTCCTTGTATTGGGCTTTATTTCTTGCATAAGTATTGTTTATTTGGGATCTGATTAATGATAGCTATAGAATTTTTTTTCGAGGGCCTGCTTCATTTCTTGATTATGAAATAAGAACAATTAAGTCTTTATTATGTTACTTTTTTCATGTCTTATGGATGCTACAGTTTTTGTTTTGACTGGGATCTGTTCCAATTTCATGGCTGTGTTGTGTGGTGAGTCATGTTTCAGTGGGAATGTGATGTGGAAATCCGGGAGCTGGAATAGTTCCAGGGTAAAAAGTGGTCTGATTTCAGCATGATAAGCAACATCCCCTCCGACCGTGCTTGTGCGCCCTCACACACCTCCACTTGTCAAATGCCTCTGATACAAAGAAAATGATTAAAAGTCAAGTTGGCTCCTAGTTACCATTGTTTGTGATTCTTTGGGTGTTCTTTGTGTCCATATTTGTTGAATGTTTTTACAGGTGTTTTTAAAATTATTTATGTGTGTGTGTGTGTGTGTGTGTGTGTGTGTGTGTGTATTTAAGAGTGTTGATTTGTCAACTGGAAGGTTGTTCCCTCCCTCCCATCCCCAAATATTTTCAATAGTGAATGAAATGAAATAGTTTCATTTCAATGTCAGTTCAAATACCATACACTCTTAAAAAAAATAAAGGTCTTTATTGGCACCTATGATTTGAAGGACCATTGGAACTCTCCATTGCTCAAAATATTGTTTATAGTGGAGAAAAAAGGGTTCATTAGATTTATAAAAAAAAAATAAAATCTTCACACTAAGAAATGGTTCTTTTTGTACTTTGGGTAACCAAACCTACTTTTTCTGTGGCATCACTGTGCACAAAAAATGGAGCCTTTATTTTTAATTGTACGAAGATTTAGAAAATGACAAAAGTTGTGTAGATCATTAGCAAGTGGTTTAGAAATGTTATTAGAATATTTTTGTATATTTAGCACTTACAGAAGTGGATACATTATTTAAATCATAAGAGGTGATGAATATTTTTGAAAATTGCTGTCAAATGTTCATTTTAAATACATAAGCATATACCTGCATGTATATGTGATCAGTAACAAATTTCCCACATTGCTTAATTCATGCTTTATAAAAGGAACTTGTTAGTAAAGTGATTTCTTATGAAACAACAGCTTAATTACCATCAAACTTGTATTTTTCTTTTAAAAAAATGCATCAAATTCAGTCCCCAAATATTTAAAATGTTTAACTATGTTCAAAACAATGTATAACTTCTCAGAACATTACAAAACATACAACTCACTCGAATTTCTAATCCTGTCTGCAAATTAAGAAATTTTCCAGATAAACATGTCAAATGAAATGCCACGAAGCATCATTAGAAAAATGGGCAAAAGCAATAATTTTCAGCTTTAAATCCCAATTTATATTTTAGTGGTTTTGGTTTGGGGAAAAAAACTAATTATGACTTGCGCATGGGACACATTTGGTCAGTTAGTAGTTGTTTTAGTCATTTTAGATGATGGAAACCCCTGTAAATCTGGCATATCTGGGCTCGCTCATCCCAAATCTTCCATTAAAAATCTTTAAAGCTTGCATGTGCTATAACTAAAATTCTATGATTACTTAATTCTAGCTAAACTGATGAGAAGATACCAATGTTATCTAATCTTGCTAAAAGTAGGCACCTATGAGATCACTTCTGTTATTCTCTCAGATAAACTACAGCCAAACTCATATCGAATAAATAGCAACTGATTGCTGCAACAACTCGGATCAGTCTATAGTGGCCTCTCTCAATAAATGGCTTCTCTCCTCATCAGCAGAGAACAGAGCTGCTCTTAGTTTGCTTAAACTCCAGTTATCAGTATTTCTCTCAGCATCATCCAACAGAGAGCGTCTCACCGGACGATACACCTTATATCGCCTGAAAGGAATAAAAAACACAAATAAGTAATTAAGATAAAGTTGCATACTGTTATGTTTTTAAAAATATCAGTTTGGTTAGTGGTACTCACTTGTAAACCATAATGGCAATGAATGCAAAGATGGAAACAATCACAGCGCTGGAAGACAGAACCACCTCAGCTACATGGGAGGATTTAGGAGAATCTAAGAGAAAGCAAGCGACAAAAATGGAAATATTCAGTTGTCAATTATAATGTTTATAGTTATAGAAATTAAGTACATTTATTTATACATTTGTAATATT